GCCTCATTAACTCTTGGACATCTTCTCATTTCTTGGTCATAAATCCTATTACCTTGTATTACAAACTGCCATAAAACTCACAGATAAAAGATAATTTATGCTCAGTGTACAGAAGCTAATGTTTCCGTACTCCTGAGAAGCACAAAACCAGAAAATGAGAAAGTATGTATGTGAAACCTTAAGCCATTCATATTGAGCATGGCTAGCATGATAAACACGACTCTAAGGGCCTAATGCTTTTCAGCCAGGGTATAGTCTAATAGTAATTGATATTACCAAAATTTCAAGCATAAAATGCATGAACTGTTGTATAAAATATTCTGCTTATAAAGAGGGATTACTCATTAAAAATTCAGGCTTTCCTTCCTCTCCCACTACAGAAAGAAATATGACCTCTATTCAGTACACAGGTACTTTTTTTTTTTTTTTAAAAAATTTCAACCAGCACATTAGAAAATGCTTCAGAACAAGCATCACCTCCTGGAATTCTTACAAAGTCTCCCTATTTCTGACTCCTATTCTAATTAGTGTTCCATGGCACACAAAAAGTAACAACCCTTGAAGTTGGCAAAATCAAAGGCAACCTAATCTTCTATTTGCTTTTTCTCTGAAGCAATTTAAAATCTTCAGGCTTTGCCACCGATTTTAACTGTGTTGGTTATCTGCTCAAAGGAATATTTTGCTTTAGTGAAGACTGAGCAAAAGTGCTCATTTAGGCTGCCTGTTATTAGTTTTCCTTTCCCATTCAGACAAGAGAAAATCTTTCACTGTCAACTTATAAATTCTGGAGCTACAAATTAGGTTCTCATTTCTTGGGCCCTTCCAGAGGGGCACCTCATTTCATGCCTGCTTTTTTTTTAAAAAAAATACTTGCTTAGTAATTTGACATATATTGGAATTCATTTATCTAAACTTAGATACCTACACCATATATAGTTAGATCTCAGCCTCCCACCCATTTCTCCATAGAGACCATGGAGACAGATATTTATGGGGTGTAATTATTCCCACCTTTTTTTTCCATTTTTGTTAGAGGAGCTCATCCTTAAAGGTCAGAAATGAACATTAGAGAGTTTACATCCTTGTAGTTTTCTTCATTTTCCATGCCAAAACATTTTTATCTATATATTTCAGAAACTTGCACTGTCTCTCCATCTATTTCCCAAGAAATGCCTCAATACTCAAAGTGCCCATTACTCTGACATTCAGTACTTGGATAATTTTACTGGCTGATGAAAAAAGGCTTTGTTTACCTGGTCCCCCTTGCTTGGTCATCTGCAGTGGATCCCAAATCAGACATTGTCCTTGCTGTCTTCCTCTTATCACCCTGAAGACTTTCAAGAAGTCTATAATCATGTTTCCTACAGCATGTGGACCCTTTACAAGTGTGTTAAATACTAATATATTTCTTCTGCTGTAACCCTATACATCAACACTGTAATAATGTGAAATCACTCTCTTTCAAAGCAATTACTTAACAGATTTTATGGTGTACTTACATACGTACTCACACCATCCTCCTCTTAGTTTCTGCATTAGTAATTAAAAATTCAGCACCTTGACTTGTTACTCCCCTTTGTATCCTTCCTAGGGCTGTTATGGGATTACCAGTTTATCTGCTGTATCCAAATATTTTAGACTCTGCCAAGGTACACATGATAGAGAACCACACTCCTGATATTGTGAACAGAGGGCTAATGTTATTTTGAAGCAAAACCATAATTATATTTTGGTCATATATATTATCCCAAAATCCAATACAGATCAGATTCTTCTTCCCCAAGAGAGAAAGGTTTCAGATCTACATTTTATAGAAAAAGAAACATGCTCTTAACTTTATAGTTTGCATTAGCATTTGAATCTCAGAACCTTGCTTCATTTGTTGCAGTTTCCAGAGACTTGCATTTTGAAAAGTCAGTGGTCTCCCACTGTGTTAAACTCCCTCCTACCTTGATTTTAAATTACAAAGGGGAGAGGAGGGAAAAGAGAGAATGTCATGATTGTGGCTGTTTGCAAGAGAAAAATACCAGGCTGAACTTCATACAAAAAAAAAAAAAAGCACTTCCAAGCTTAGGATCCTTGTATTTTTCTGTGTATAAACTACTCACTTGATTTTTATCTAAACTAGGTAGGATTAATGTTATTATCTGGAGGTACCACGACAGCTAACTGAAGATGCTGACAGTGACAGGTTTAAACAACAATCAAAAGCAATTTTGTGTCAAAATTAGCACAGAGATTGTTTAAATGGCCTGCCCCCATATCTGCCCTTTATTTCTGTACACTACAAACAGCCTGAAGTTACAGAAGTGAAGTTACTGACAGCCAGGTACGGCAGAAAAAAAATAATATCCTGTAGAACTCTCCCCATCTACAAAAAATATTACGTGCTTCTTGTACGGCATTATTAAAAACAGAACAAAGAAGTTTTCAGCAAACACAAACAATTAACAACCTCCCATTTCTATTTAAAATGCACAGATTGTGATTTTTTTCAAGTTATAAAGGGTTTAATTATTCATGGAAGATTCTTGTGAAAGCAGTCTTAGGCATGGCATTTTAGAGCTACTTATGGAAAAGACGAATGAAAATAATTAAAAGTCTTTCCAGTTCGAGCAAGAGCTTTGTAAGCTAAACTAGGAATTCTCCATCTTATCTTCAACATGTTCTTAAAAATATCCTAAAATAAATTTACAGTGGTCGGTGAAGTACTGCAATCACAGATCAATCACAAGCAAGTTTCTCCTCACTTTCAGATTTTAACCAAAGTTATCGCTTAGCCCTCCCTCTTTCCCCCTCATTCCTGCCTCTATCCATTTAGCTGTGTAACTAATGATCAGAGTAATTCCTCATCATACTGACAAAAGACCTCCTGTGCCTACTATCTTTCCTGTAGACACAGTGCTTCAAATTGTTAATAGAGTATCTGCCCCTGTGGCTTTAAATCTATAAACTCATAGAACCTCATTAATGCTTTTCTCGAATTACAATGAAGCACACCTGGTGCAAGGTTTTGCCTGTGAATGTTATTTATTTTAATGAAATAAGCTTTCCAAGAGAAATTGGGAAAATTAGGTAAGCTTCTAGAAACCTCGACAACAGGAAAAGATATTTCCAAACAAATAAATGAATCACTATTAGAGAACAGTGTTTGATGTTTAGATTTGCCTTTAATTTAAATCTTAGAAGCAGAAGATCAGCAAGATCTTTTGCATGTGTTGTTTTATGAATCAATAAATGCAGTAACAGACCTGAAAAACCACAAAAATAACACATCTTAAAGAAATTCTCTTGCTGATGCTATATGGATTCCCATCATGATGAACTGCACCACTGGACTGCATAAGAGCTCTGCCTGATGTGTATGTCAGGAATTCCCTCATATCATCCTCTCATGTCTTTCTTTTATTCTTATTGCAGACATCCTTATTGCTACTCAACATGTAAAAGGGCTATGTGCTAAATTTAAACTTACTGGAAGGGAATTTAAAAGGTTAATTTTACTTTTTTCCCATTTATAATCAAAATCCTATATTTACCCAAATTCAGTTTTCATAGTTTCTGTTTTTCTTCTTTCTCTGCTTTAAAAAAAAATCTATTCTGAACAAATTCAACAAAATCTTTTCCAAGGCAGGAATGCAGATCCCATCATTTGCTGTTCATTTGTCTGCAATGTATATTATTAGGCCCTGACCCTACAGAACACAATTGAAAAAATGAGCACTTAACGGTGCAAGACCTAAGGTGTCAGGGTGGGTGGAAGGTCAATTTTATTATAAAGTAACTTTTCACAACACTTACAGGTTGAAGCAGGTAAATCAGTGAGCACTCCTGGATAACTATGACTGGAAAGGGAGTGATATTTGTTGCATGAAAAAGCGTTTCCACTGATGCCATTGTTTGGTCAAAGCGTCCTCCAAGTCCGCCCAAAGTCACAATCACATCAATCTAAAAGATAAAACAAAAACAGTCACCGAGAAAACTCTCAGGAATGATCTCTAGACCCTGAAAATCCACAGTAAAATCACTTTGGGAAAAAAAAAAGAAAAAAATAACTACTGACTATAGAAAAGAGAATGTCAAATACAGTTATTTACTCCCATTACCAATAAATACCATTATGTGATTTTGAGGCTGAGTAAATTCACAGACAACATGTGGTACTTTTTAAAAGGATGTAACCATTCTCCATAAAATACAGGCCAGTCTTCGAAGGTATTCATCTGTCTGCCCTAAATATATGGAGCCTAAGATCTATCACTCCATATGTAAGCTTCTCAGGCAAGTGTGGTATATCTGAGCCATAGTATTCCCAGTTCTTCACATCATTTCAGTATTATCCTCACGGTTTATAGAGCAAATAAAGGAAATTTCAGGTTAGGGCCATTATATGTCATTCTCATTCCTGCCACACAGCATTTCAATGTACAAGCAATACCCCTGAAAGGCTGGCTCTACCCAAGATTAGAAGTACTGCTGAATAGGAAGTTCCACCCTAAGCAACTGGGACATCATCTCTGTCAGGGACAGAGACAGGCACAGGAGCGCTTTCCTGTCCCAGTCCCAGATACACAGAAAGTGCTATTTGACTGTTTGCAGTAGGCCATGGTGTTGGACTGCTCCTGCTCAGTTCCCTCACACAAATGTTCTAGACTTTGAATACTTTATTTCCTATAATCAGAAAGGGAGTATTTAAAAGCCTTGGTTAAGAGCTTTCAGGTCCTCAGACAAAAGGTCATTGAGTGTAAAGTATTATTATTATTACTTCCATAATGTTGATCAGTTTTGTTCATTAACTGTATTTTAAAAAGCTACCACTAAGTCATATCTAGGGCCCTAACACATTGCAGCTTTAAAGTCTTTAGAAGCTGCCTTGACAAAGGCCATCTGGTGAAGTTTTCAACTTTATAGAGCTTAAGTCTATGGCTGCTGTGATTATATGAAATTTTACTCAACCCAGGAGCCATATAATGGTGCCCTGTGAATCTGGAATGATGTATTAATAGCATCAGCTTCTATTTTTATTACCAGGTCTAGGGCTTTATGATTCTGTTGAATATTCTTTTGCATGAAAATTGTCTTTTCCTTCCTTGAAGAAATATACCATTTTTCTCACCACCAGGAAAATACCTGAGAGGCCAGAATGGATCAATATAACACATTATATTAGCAGCAAACACTGAAACAAAAAAACTATCCTTGTACTGCTGACAGCATGTATTTTATGTGCAGATTACAGATCACATAGACCTAACGTACCACCAATAGAATATGAATTGTAGCAAAACCTATTCTTAAACAGAAGATAAAACAGCAAAAAGTAAAAAGCATGTGTTCCCAGCTAAGCCACAATACCATAATATATTTTCCCTTTTATTGATTCCACTGTAGAAGCAAACTGCTTTTGTTTGATTGGTGATGACTGTGAGTTAAAAGGGCGGATCAATTCTCTGAAGATAAAACTATTAATAAGACCCATCAACAACAGTTCCCTACCAGACAATCAGCAGCAAAATGCTCCCATCCTCCCCCAGTAGAAGCCATTAGGGAAATCTGCTACACTAACCTGGAACCACAGTGAAGTTAAGGTGTCTGGCAAAGGATCAGGATCCACATGTATGTTGTTTTTCTTCTGAGCAATGGGACTGCAGCTTAAATATTATCCTAGCCTCATCTAGAAGAAACTGAGCAACTCTGTATAGTTTCTTGGTGTATATGTCTCATCATACATGAACTTGTTTGTTTTGACTTTGATGTTTTGTACAGTTTGAAAGGTAAGAATGAAGGAAACACAGACTCCCTTTGACTTGGAATTAAAATGATGCAGTAACATTCTGAATGTGTCTTCTTTCTCTTGTAAAACTGCCAGTATGTCAGAAAAATTCTGCTCTGTTATTCACACCCATGTACTTGCCATGAAGTACAGGACATATCTCAAGCAATGAAGTGCTCAGTGACTGCAGCTTTCTGTGGTAGAGATAGCCAGAGCCATGCAAGCTGAAGAAAAACATAACAAAAAAATACTTCTGTATTTTCTAGTATGACAGAAGTGATCCCAAAGTCCTACTCCTTATTCAATGGCAACAGTGCAGTCTTGTGGATTGCTTCCCAAAAAGTAAGAAAATAAAACCAATCTAGCATGGAGTAGATACATTGAAAAGGTATTCATAAACCAGAGGTTTGGGGTTGAGGTATGTTGGGAGAAGGTTAATAAAGATATCTGAAAAGGAAACATAGTTACTATTTAGGATACTTGCATGGATTGTGAAAATGAAAAACACAAGTATGTGACAGGTATGCAAGCAAACCCAGCTGGAGTACGAGAGCAGCAGACTGAGAGAAAAGCTAGAATTCTGCACTCCTGCGACAGTTGACAGTCCTGCCTTTCACTGGATAATCTTGCAGAAGCGACAGGCATACAGACATTTTAGGACTTTCAGAGCCTTTATTTGAAGGTCTAGGTATACACACTTTGTTTATTTAACAAAAACACAGAGAGACTAAGTGCAGCAAAAGTCTCAAGAGCTTTTCCATCCTAAAGTTAACATCTCTGTTAAAAAAACCACACAACCCAAGAATTACAAACTAACAAAACAATCCATTCCTTCCCTGCAATCACTACTCCGCTCACTCTGTCAAGTGCTTAAGAAAATGGATGTGCCACGAAAGCACATACACGACTCTTGGTCATTCTACAACCTAAGACAAAGTGAATACCAATGCACAAGACACATATATTCCCACTCTACAGAGACAAAAGGTCATTCATTTTTCTACTATGATTTCCTGTATAACACAGGCCTCAGAATTAATACTATTACTGCTAATGAGCCCAGCAGGTAACATTCGACTAACACACTGTACTTCAATTGAAATGTCCATGCTTCACTTAAATGTCCCATCACCAGTCCCTTTACACAATTTGTTTTCACACAGCACTATTCATTTCCTGAAAAAAGGATATAAAATCGTAAATAACTACAAAGAACAGCTTAGATCATTGCAGGCACATTCTCTTGGACTATCTATAACCTGACTTAAATGTAATGCACAGCATCTTTAAAGACTATGAAGGTTTAATTTCGAAAGAGTTGAAGATCTAAGGGTATGACCCAGTCATATTTAAATGATACAGCTATATGTTATTATCTCTTAAAAAAGTTTTAGAAGTCACTACCAAACACCAGAGCAGTTAATAGGAGAAGGGAAGCATAAAGGAAGACTTTGTGCTTGCATTTCAGGGAGGTATTTCTTCCTTCTTACCCAAGCTGTAATTTAGAGGGTACAGTAACCAAGGGGAGCTGAGGTTTCTACCACATCAGAATGAAATTGCTCAGATTCCTGCTTCCATTCTCACAGAGACTATTGAAATGGACAACCTGCTGTAACCTTTGCAGGCTTGCTGAACACGGTCTGTTAAAACTGGTCCAGCTGACATTCCTGTTTCTGGCATGAATGGGTTAAATACAAAGAATATTTTCACTGTATGACTGAGGAACATGTATTTAAGGATACAGGAAGCTGGAAACTGCCTGCAGTGGGTGAAAAGTGTGCAATATCATTCGTTGTAATGTCAGCATCGCCATGACATACAAGAGTGAAGTCCAAGGTTCAAACTGACAGCAAAGGATGCCCACTCTTTCAAAACCATGCTCATTATCTCTGATAAGAAATACTCTCCCCAGGGAGAGGACAAACAACTCAGAGGACTTTTTTCCATATGAGCTCACTTTCAGTCAGAAAACTTGCAAACAAACATGCTTAGGGTTTGGAGAAGTGGGTAGGTGAAAGGAAAGACATTTACTGAAACAGCACTGAAAGAACTGCAAAAAAGACCTCCCCTGAAGGAAAAAGGGAAGATGATGTAAAAGCTCTGAAGTCATGATTAAACTCCCGCCCTCTGAGACCATGGAGACTGTCCACTGCTAATATCCAAGACATTACTATGCCAATTACAGGTTAGAAGTCAGATAGCTTCCTTTATCACCTCACTTCACTGAAATCTTTACATCTTCCACAGCCTTTCTTTATTTTCTGTCATTCATAAGCCTACTCCTTTAATTTTTGAAGGAATATGACATAGACAATAAAATTATTGTAGTAACATGCATGTACATTGGAAGCATATTTTATGATGAAATATCTATATATTGAAGTATATCATATGTTGAAAAACAATCAAGTAGTAATGTGAATACTAAATTTAATATTGCTTTATTGCTTCATCACTTCAATTTTGACCAGTTTACCAGAAAAGCATTTTTTTCTTCATAAGGCAATTTGTCAAATTAGGATGTGGTTTAAAACTCCAGATATATCTTTTCTAGTCTTTGTATCAATACTGAAGACTTTAAAACACAGCAAGCACTTCCCTTGACAACAAATGGGCCAAAGTAGATTTTAGCTCATTTGTCCGTAGCTGTATCAGAGCTCTTGTGCTGGCCAGATCACAGTCATTTTTTTATATCATCCTCAGAATTGCAGTGTAAATTTAATGAACTATTAAAATCCTATTACCCAATGTTGACTATATAGCAAGTTATCATACATTTTCGTTGATTCTACTAGCTCTCTAGCTCAGTGTCTTACATGAAGGTATGGCATTCATTTCCTATAGGAATGATAAGCTGAACCACACAGCAGCATCTGAACTTTGCTCAGGTAGAATCCTCTTTACTCTAGCCAGAATTTCCTTGTTGTTTCAGACATCTGACTCTTCATGGGAACAAGAGCTCTCAGCCAAAGGCTGCCATCCTGTCTGTGTACCTTCAATCAGCTTCATCCTCACCTCATTGACTCCACTTATCTTTATATTATATTGTTCCAGCTCCTTCACAAAACATTTCTTGCTTCTTACCTTCATTTTCTTACATTCTTATCCAAGTGCTTTCTCTATTTATAACCCTTTTTATTTCAAATAAGAGGTTAATTCTTTCTGCTAATGACAG